AAAGAGTGTTTGTATGAGCCCCCTGTTCAATGTGGTTTCCGACTGCTTCACTATGCCCCAGCGAGGAAGGAAATTACCATCCGTTCTCCTATAAATGAATGTTCAACGCATGGATTAAGTGATCTGTCCACAGCCACGTGTCGTAGAGCCTGTATCCGAACCCAGATCTCTTTTAAGTCGCAGTTCACTGCTTTACCCACTAATCTGTTTTGTGTCACAAGCTTTGGTTAATGTTACAGTGGCCTAATAAAGCCAAAATCTGAGATGCTTTCCATTCAGCTGCTGTTTTAATCACATAAAAAAGATATATGAACTGCAGTGTTTTCCCTTAAGAGTAAGTATGGTAATTATTATTCAAACATATTTAATATCAGCAAACAACAATAACAGCAACAAAAAACCTATGCTAGCAACAAATTATTCCTATTGCATATGCAAATATTCCCTTACAATTGCCTTCCGTTACCTGTTGATGCTGTTTTTCTGTGCTAACATCTGCCAGTCTTTGCCTTTGGCATTGGGTGTGTCAAATGTTGCACATATTCTCTGTCTAATGGAGTATGGGATTTTGAAGGCCTTTGGACCAGTCTGTGCAGGGAAGTTGCTGTCATCATGTGCAAAAAAGGTGATAGTTTCTCTTTCATTCTGTGCATAATACAAAAACAAGACAATTGCTAGGTAAGTGGGCTTTCTGGTTGCCAAAGGTACTGTTGTCCACCTCCATTATCATAGCAACTAAGCACCTAGCTCTTTTACCATATTTACCCTGGCAGCACTCCTGGGAGGTAGGAAAGAGCTATTAGCCCATTTTACATACAGATCAAACTACTCGTTGGCCTTCATCACCCAGGAAAACTGTCAGGATGCAGTGTTGACCCCTGGTCTCCCAGTGCTAAGCTTCAAGTCACTAAGCTATTGCCGAACTTTTTCCGCACTGGATATATCCCCTAACTTAACTCCCTGGTAATAAGCTAGTATTTTCAGCACTGTTGAGAGACAAAGACCCCCTTTACTGTACCATAAAAACAGGGACACCTTGATCCACTGTAAGCTGCCAAACTTAAAGGAGTTCACTGAAATTGAAAGTGCTTGCTAGTCCATTTTTTTCCGTGTTCACTGCTCATGAAGGAGTACAACTAAGGGTATATATCAATGCCTGAGAACAGAGATTTTTTCAGGTACTTGGAGCTCCTACATTTTACCCTGAACTTCCAGGATACTACTGTAGGGTACTATTGTAGGACACTGAGGTATTTAAACCAGCACCTGAGTAGCTAGGTTTCAGTTAATCAAGGAATGAAATTGTTTTCTAACGCGATGTAATAAACTCTGTAATATAGAGTTTCTGCATGGAAAGGTTCACCTAAGGAAGCAGAAACAATAGCTTAGAACGCTATCTAATAAATGTGGTGGTCATGAATCGAATGAATACCAATAATTTGCAAGCAAACTGTTTGCTAAATTGCATTTTTTAACTAATTTATCAAATAGTGATATGTTTCTGGCCAATACATAGAAAACAAAAGGCCACATAACTTGAGTAACTCAGTTGCAAAGATTAGCTTGACAAGGAGTATTCAAAATTCAGGAAAATGCCCCAGGAAGCAAGGACTGTGGGATTTGTCTCAGTCAATACAGGGGAGACTTGGCACTGAGGAGAAGGGTACTGTTTGTTCGTGCTTCACGCAGGCTTTTGCACTCAGGTTTAACCTTGAAGGATCCAGGGCAGCTATGGGGAATGAGCGGTTGTCTGCTCTGCTTCTCTCATGCAGTTTGTTCTGAGTGCAGGTTGAGTTGTGATCACTAGCAATGAGATTGGTTGAAGGCAGAAGGAACGGGGTTTGCGTCTGAGATCCCAAGTAGTGTTTGTAGTAGCGACAATGAAAAAATAAATTAGCCTTTTTATTTGTAAAACCACAAAAGCATGGTCGAGGGATACTTAAATGTATTTATAAAGAGTACTGATTTAAAAGAACAAGCCAAAACGGTGCTGCTTCTTTCTTCAAAAAATGTCCCATTTTCAGCTCTTTTCTGTTTGTTCATATGTTACCCCTACAGGGCACGAACTCTTGGTAATTTTTTTTATACGCAGGACTCAGGTGCCTAAGTCCAAAACATAGATCAAAATAACCCTACTGAGCTGTCAGTGAACTCAAAAGATGGCTAAGCTCTAGAAGCACCTTGCGTTTTAACATTGAAAGTCCTCAGGCACCTAAGTCCCTTTATGGATGTGAGATTTTGTCCTGTATGTGCATTTGTAAGGAGGAACCTTTCTGGACTGGGGCTCCACTCAGTGCTATGCAGCATAAATATTAAATAGTAATGATGCTACTGGTCTTGTCATATAACATTTATGGCACATCCCAGAAGGCATTCATGCAAAGTAATAGGAATTCTGTAGATACATCACGTTGTCTGATTGTTTAAATTAAATATGCAGAAGAACAGTAGATTTTCATACCCTGCACATGTGAGATAAGCCAGTGCAACCTGGTTAGCTGTGGGAATTGTAAAGCAATGAGAAGTTCAAGTATTCAGCCTATTTTTTTTCTTCTCTTTTTACGGTCAAATTATCCTCATCCTTCCATCAATTTTTGAGATAGGATAAGAAAACCTTCCATATTAGTGAATCTGTTTGAAAAGAGAATTGTAACATGCACCAGGGGTTTGTGGACAGGCCTCTCTTCAAAAAAACCCAACCTCAGCGGCAACATTTAACTGAGAAAAAATGATGACAGAAGTCTGCAAGAAATCATGGCAAAGGCATGTGGGACTCTGAGGGTTTTTTTTAATATGTTGGACATAAAAAAAATTAATACATGGAAAGGGATGATCAAAAATATTTATTAGATTATTAAACCTGAATGGCTTTCCCTGCTAATGGACTGAGTCTTGCATGGGGGGAAAGGAACTATGAACAGAGCAAAATTGCATAAGGAAGATATGAAAATCACATGCAGAGGTCAGGGAAAACACTTCTTATTTCCATTACAGTATCACAGTATCACATTACAGTATCCCCAGAATGTACCTATTCTTCTGTACAAACACAGTCAGAGACAGGTTCTGTCCTGACCCGTTTACAAAGTAACTTGTCATAACAAGGGAAACCTCTGTTAGTCTTTCTATTGGTGAGAAAGCAGTGAGTTTTTTCTGCATGTTTCCCCCTAAATCTTCTCCATCCCAGTCACAAGTAAGCTTTTAAAGACTACGGTAACTAATGCAAATAAAGCACGAGCAACTAAATATTGTGCTTGTATTGAGCATCTTTACAATACCGTTGTTTCTTAACATGCTGCTCTGAACATCTTGGATGCCATAGGTAAAACCCAGAACTGGGTTTACCCCAGTATCAAGTCAACAGATTAATGTTCCAGATCTGCAAATAAATCCTTTGTAGAGAGGAAGGTCTGCCCACAAGGAGCATCCTACAGACCTTCCTACTTGTAATCATCTTCTACAGCTGGATTTAAAAGGAGGTTGAGAAGGGAGGAAGAATAGTCTAGTGGTTAAAATAATCCATCCCTTCACACATCATGGGCAAAGCAATGACACAGTGCTTTCCTAATGTTAATAGAGCAGGTCTCACATCACTCTGTGAAAGGTAGGAAGAAGTTCTTACTGTCATGCCAGGCATCATTGGGTGGCACTTTTAAAGCTCTTTAATGGGTAAGCAAATGTTCAGTCTTGCAATAACAGACCAGATGGTGGTAACAGTGTTGCTATTAAAGGCTCTAGGAGAGGGATCTATGCAAGCAGCAGAAGAGCTTGCTCTTTGCCTTGGTTTCTGATTAGACTAATTTTTCTTGAAGATAGGGTTTCTTCCCTGGGAACTAAGCCTCCTGAATGGAGGAGTATATGCATACTGTTTGACTGCCTCTGCTCTTTGAGTGGCATTTCTGTGTAAATAGTAGAAGTTACTTAATCTAACTGGTACGGCGTTTGCACATATTCGTTTCCTCCCCCAGGAAAGACGTCCTGTCGAACTCTGGATATCTGCTACAACTCTGCAAGGGGTTAAAATTGGTTTCAGAAGCAAGGGGATCTGTTTTACACAGAGTAGACTGAGCTGGAGTTGTTTACACAGCTACTTAATGACAGAGCTGGGAATAGAGAAAGAAGAGAGAGAGCTAGCTACCTCTAGAATAGATGTCTGGATCTGTAGGATCTGCTCGTGGCCCTTGACTTGTCGAACACAGATCTTGCAGGACAGCTGCGTGGTTGTAGGAGTATAACGCTCCAGCGAAAAGGCACAGTGCAGTGGCTGCTGGTTACTGCACCACACACGAGTGAAAGGGATCTCCTGTATAAGAAGCATATCCCGGAAACAAAAAAAAGGGTGTTGGGGGGGAAGGGTTGGGAGAGGAAGAGGGAAATGAAGAGAGAAGCTGTGACATGACTACAAAACCAGAGAAGACTAACAATAATCATTATTTCCATGGTTCCCCTGGAACTGCTTTTGTAATAACGTCTCCATGAACATTGAGTAGCACAAAACTAATTAATGTCAATTCCAATTGATAACGCTGGGATGTTAAAATTACCACAAGATTAAATTTCATTCAGTGACACAGATGATGAGAGAGCATCTCAGCTAAAATGAAATGTAAAAAAACCCAAAGAAATGTATTTCCAAGCATAGAAATGTGTTTATTCCCCTGCCCTGACATAGGGTCTAGAATTCCTAATACCTCTCTAGCCCCTACAATGCTATCAAATCTCGCAGATTGGAGATGAAAGAGGGATCCCTTAAGAAGTTATCCAGTCCTTCCCTGGAATGCAGGTTTGATCCTATAGTACCTGCAACAGCTTTTTATTCAGTCCACATTTAAGTTTTAGTGTGGTAAGGTTTCTGCTGCTTCCCTGGAGAAAACCATGCACAACCCACCTCACTGTTAGGGGAATGGATCCAATCAGGTTTCCTTTTCTTCTTATTTTGGACCACCTGATCCAACTCCTTACCTTCTGCAGTGACCAACCTAAGGGCTAAACGCAATCTGGATGTATACTATCTGCACATAACTACAGTCATTACTGTAATCCACCCGCAAAAGACTTCTGGCATCTCTGGTTTCCTTGATTTCTGGTGGAGGCGGGGAGTCATGGGAGTAGGTAGGAAAACCATATATCCAGTAAGGGGTAGCTAAACCTTTTTATTAAGATTCCTCTAAAAACACAGTTCAATTAGCTTCCTTTCCCATAACATTTAAGGAGTGGGATACATTGTTATTTTACTATCAGTCCAATATTTGACATGCTTCCACCTTGATAGTGTTAGTCTACACAGTTGTCTTGCAGCCATATACTTCAACCAAAATGCTGTCCACTATTTTCAAAGCACTTTAACATTGCACCAAACTGCCAAATAAGAAAACAGGCAGACAAGAATGCCGAACTAATGTTTTGGTAGTAACTCTTCACCCTAATTCACCCCTCTGATTGGAGCTTTTTAATGCCGTCTGCAATAAGACATGATGCTAAGAGAAAGAAAGAGCTATGTTTCAAATTAAAGTTTAAACTATTAGTTGGCAAAGATATTGTAAGGATGCATTCCCCTTCCCGTTTCCTTGTTTGGTTGTTTGCTTTTCTCATTTCTCTCTAAATTTTAGCTCGATAAATATTTGAAGACAGGGATGATTTGAGAGGCATGGGGTTCTGGCCCTAGAAGGAAAACACAAAAACTGTGACACTAATAGATTTAATTCATTTACAGTTTATATTATAGTTACATTTTAAATGATGTGCTGATGCATTAAGCATGTTACAGGCGTAAGTAACGTGTGTTATAAGTGGCTATAATCACGTCGGTAGATATTATATATGCTTATAAGAAATCTAATGTGCTGTTGGAGTCTAAATACATTATTAGAACAACTGATTAAATATAATTAAACCCTGCATTTTACAAACTTGTTGTGAATGGAAACTCAATATGAAGTGTGACTTTTAAACCTTTCGCTCATTGGAATATGTGATTTCCCTTTCCTTATTTCTCTCTTCTCCCTTGTTTCATTCTAGTCAGTCCCATTTGTGCTTGGCTAACACCCTATAGGGCTGAGCACATTTACTGCAGTAGTGCAGCCTGTGCCCCCCACTGTGACATTAGTTAGAAAGTGACATTTTATGCCTTTACAGCTCTTTTCCACTGGGGTTAGCAAAGCAGGAAGCAGATCAGGCTGATACAGAGTTATCTTTTCCCCCACTGCTAAAATGCAGCTACCTTTGCATCTTCTCGAGATTCTCAGGGGTCATTCAAAATGACACACCAAGTAGTAATTACAAGTGCTGTGTTTAAATCCTGAGTAGCAAAATACTGAAGCTGATACAAAAAAAACCAAAACCCAAAACATTTTAAAATATTAGGAAAGGAGCACTTGTAATTAGATTTTTCCCAGGTAATCATCTTTGCTTTTATTTTGGGAAAGGGGAGGAAGGGATCACACCCATCTGAGAAGGATGATGTGAAAAATAATAAGAGAAGATAAAGTATTGTGAAGTTATGTGTTTAAAGTATTCCGGAAATGCTTTCAGTTTTATTCTCCATTATAATTAGGCTCCTAGCAGATGGAGGGAATGTAAATCATTTCCTAGCTAAAGACAGGCACTGGATCCTCCAAGACAGAAGACACTGGGGAAAACAGATGCTTTGACTCAACAAAGCTGCCTGTCTGGCTTCTTACCCTAGCTGTAGCCAACTAACCATCTCTTCCTGCTCTGATATCCACGCTCCTTCTGAGGGGGGTTCCCCCTTCAACTTGTGAAAGTGGTGGGAGAGAACCCAACCTTGTGGCACCTACTGTTGCTGCTAAGTGTGAGTGCACACCCCTACAGGGGTATAGGTTGTAGCCATGTTGGTCTAAGGACACAGGCAGACAAGGATCTTTGGGCAAATCTGATACCTTTGATTAGACCAAGTCAAATAGTTGGAAAAATTCTTTGCAGGCTTTTATAGCTTCTTGTAACCTTTCTTGGAAACTGCACACACAGTGTATATTACAGAGAAAAGCAACCTCTACCTGCTGCAGGTTGTTTTTGAGGATTGACCCCCTTGCTTTGTAAGCCAGAAATTGGGGAAACAATGATAAAAAAAAAGCCTGCTCTTTACATATAGGTTCAGCGTCTGGCTTACTGCAAAACCCAGACTCCCTTTCTACCAAGAAGCAGCACATGATCAAATACCAACAGCTAAATACACCTGCTTGCATCTCATTTCCCACTACTTCTGCCACAAAATCAGATGAAACCAGGGTACTCTGCAGTCTTCCAAGAAAGTTGTCAAAACTTCAGGCTGTTCTGAACCAGACGCAGCCATTGTTTTAGAGTCTGAGGCTCTATAAGCAATACCTTTCCAGCAGCCTTTCCTCCCATAGGTACAGCAGGAAAGAACCGTAGTGCCCCTCCTGGCTCCTTGCACATGTTGGGTCACAGCTACAAGTAGATTCATAGTTGTACCACATAAAAGAGCCACCTGGAGTTCTCTTTGGCTTTGGGGCTGGAGACAGGTAAATAAAAAGGGAACCAAAATTGTATGGGACCACTCCAATAGAAGTGAGTCATGGGATTCGGGCTCATATTTTACCAGATGGAAATGGGTACTTTTTGTTCTTGTTGTTGTTTTTTGGCATCAGGCCTAAATCTGAGCTGTCAAGAGAGTTTAGAGATTCATCACAGACTCACAGACCATGTTTCACTGAGCAGGAAATATGAAGCTAGTGTAAATTGTGCTGTAGTTCCTATTAAAAACAATAATTATTATTTCTCAGTCGTCCAAGTCATTCAAATTACACTCAATTATAAAATGCAAATATTTATTCAGCTTCAATATCATCATCCTGTCAAATCCATTTTAATGGTAGAAGTTTTGCAGAAACTGTTGTTTAACCCTGCACTGCTGCTGATGCCACAAGCATTGGTTACACGACGGCCACGTGTAAACCTACTGTATGGAGCCAGTTCTATCTATCCCATGCCGTACCCTTCTTAAAGCAGACACAGCACTTATCGTTACTTAAACACTGCTCTATGGGTTATGATTCCCTCATCTGATTTTTTTATCTCCCAGCAATAAATTTAATAGTTACTTTGGACTGTGCCACTCACATTAGATCCAGTAAAGTGAGGCCCTTACAACCCGTAAAGATTAATACAGAGAAATTTGCATGGCTATCAGGACTTGTTTTAACAGCACCCTGCAGTTCAATTTGGACTGAAAACTCCAGAATATTGCTTGCCAACAGAGAACAAAGATACCTAGGTTTAATATACCATAAACAATATATTTATTCATAGACGCTGTATGCAGCATTAGGAAAAGTGCTGAACCACATACAAAATGTCTTTGGGCCTCTGAGTCATTCTCAGCACTTTACATGCACTGGAGACTTGGATCTGGCACAGGAGATAGTGCCCCAAAGAAATAAAAACTATGCAGAAATAATACTTACCAAACTCGCATGGACTCAAGGAAGGTAGATTCAGGGGCAAAAAACCCAACCTTGTTGGGTCACCTGCATAGTCTTACTTTGGCCAGTGCTATATTTGTTCCCTGCTACCTATTTTTCTTATTTAGCATCCAGTCCAACTTTATCTAGTTGATTCCATTCTCTCTCTTATGTCCATACAAGAAACTAGGTCAGTGCTAAATGGTGGAATTTCATGAGCACTGAAACTTTACATATTTGTAGTGTGTGCTCAGTATCGGGTATCCAAATGCACTGCTCAATGAACAGCAGAGTTATCCATCACTAAGGCTGTTAAAACAAATACATTTGCTGCAGAAAAGGTAAAAGGGATTGAATTCTTCATTGAGATATATTGGCTTTGCAGCAAGCCTCATAGTTAAACAAAAACATTTAAGATGCATTAACAGTGCTGGGGTCCACTACTGGGTACACGGGCCATTTAAATGAAGTTAATTCTTCATAGGGTAGCTATAAAATGCATTTTGTTCCCTTATTAAGGCAATCTCCAGGGATTGGTAAGTGAAATGTCTCTAAATGTACTGGGTGCAACTCTACTCTACTTTTACTAGAAGGCATTCTTCAGTAAACAGATTTCTGAAGTTGTTCTTGAATGTATTTTATAGGGTTTCTTACTTTGGGGGTTGATCAGAAACTGATATACTGAATTCTGCAGTGCTGTTATGTATGCAGGGAAGCAAATGGCAACCTGAAATAGTATCAGAAAATGTCTTTGTGTTTATTACTGCATATGAACTCTGGGTTTTAATCTGTATGTTACTCACCAGTGAGACATGCCCTGAGATTATGATTGGGTTTGTTTTGGAAACTGTAAAATTTAGTAACTACATTAAGATAAATACTCCGGAGAGGAAAAGCTTTTTCTGCCGAAGTTTGTGAGACTCGCATTCTTTCTTCCCCAATGATGTGACATAAATTACCTCTGTTCTATTAGCATAATTTCCAGAGTAGGATGTATAGCATTGTGGGAAATTTCAAATGGAGGTATGGACCCCTTTGAATTGCAAGTGTGGGTATTCACATACTTTTGATTGATCGTAGTAATCCTTTACGGACCCATTAGACATAGTCTGCGGACCTCCAGGGGTCTGTGGACCACAGATTGAAAACCAGTGGTTCAGGACAGGATGCTTACACATTTAGGCTGCCTTTGCTCAAACATCACAAGAGATTGTGTTTTCCTTTCTCTATTTGGTTTCAGGAAATGGGAGATAATATACTAATTATGTTCTCTTTCTCTCTGTGTTTTAAGAGAGACAAGCACAGTTTCTCTGCCAGTAATGCACTTGATAGACTCTCTCCTTTGCTTTGATTTATGCCTTGCCATCTTCAACAGCCTCTTTAATTAATGCACCACAAATGGGCGAACTTTCTCCTCTATCTCTGTCATTTCTAATCCTCAGTAATATACATGCTATGATTTGAACTCATGACATTTAAATGCTTGCAGATATACTCGGTGTTTCAGCTGTACACTCAGTGTTGCATTAAAACCAGGATGACAAGTCAATCAATTACAGATATTGAAAAACGACTTTTAATGGGAATGATAACATTTAGCTAAAATATAGGGATTCTGGAGGAGGTGAAAGTAACATGGGGGAACATAAAACATTTGCTTTTGTAAGATGAAACATTTACCAGTACTCTGCTTTATACGAATGGTCTCATTCTGCATTTTTTCACACGTAAAAAATTGCATTTTTGCTAAATGCTCACTGATTAAGTAGATACGTTGCAAAAATAAAAAGGGACAATTGCCTTGTTTGTCACAGTGAAGACTCGCGTTGCCTTTTAAATTAAAAAAGTAAACAAAATTGGACAGGTACCTGACATGCAGTGAAAGGTTTAATTCTCCAGAGGAAAGGGGGGATATCGAGGACAGATATCTGAAGACTGAAGGTATTCCCTTTGAAATGCAGCAACTTCGGTTCCTCCAGTAACTGTCCTCCTTGGTGTCTTTCATCTGAAACCACTTCCTGCAACAGGAGGGGGGAAACTTTACAAAGCAAAGATGAGGCTTATGGTTTCTTTAAGTATTAGAAATAATACCTATCTTAAAATGAAAGAGGCAGCACTCAGTATGGTAGCTGACTGCCTGCAGGTTTCTGAGCATGTCGACAGACAGTGCACGCAGTAGGTGAATGGGGAGTACCACCTTTCCCTTCCTGAGCAGGCCAGAGCAACTGAGGCAGCATAGAGGGGGAAGTAAAATTTGCCTTGCCGGGCACCAACATCGAGGAAGAGGAATCAGGGATTAACTTCTGCTATGGTCAAAAATGTGGCCCCGGGCTTGTTTCTGGAGCAGAGAGAGTAGGAGTCTCAGTTCATTCTGGGCCTGCCCTAGCTCATTTGCTGTATCTTTTAGTGCTGTATATTCTGAGCATAAAAAGCATACAGATAAAAAAGTAACAGGAGATAGACAGTAGAAGACAAAGTGGCTGAACATTATTCTTTAACATTCATTTAACTGGACAGATAGATCACAATCATGATGAGCATGTACTCTCAGGACTTCAAAAGGCACTGAAGAAGCATCACTAAATTTGCCAGTTTGTTCAACAAAATATTTGCATTTAAAAATAATAGTAAGAAATCCTTTCTGTCTATACCTGAACAATCTTTTTTAAGGTTGTTTTACAGATATATGCGGGGAGCAGAGACCTGCAGAAATATTTTGAAATTAGATTTTAAATCCATATGAATTCTATCTAATTTGTGAACACCAAAGTAAGTCAGATGGCTTGTCAGAAGCATGAAAGCATTGTTAGAAGAACTACTGACTTGGCTATGACTTCTGAAATGACTGTTAATATTCAGCTCCTTGAAGCTATAAATCAAGAAGGCCCCATGAGAAACAAGTTCAGGGAGGGCATTTGGCAGTATGGTAAATTCCTGTGCTATAAGGAACCAACGAAAACTACCTTCACTTCAATCATTGTATTTTTGGTCTGATTCGGTCTAACACTTTATTCCACAATTCTACATTACCTTTTTTTAATCTACTTTAGAAATTTCCTGTGATAATTGCTCAATTTCCATTTTTAAAAGGAAGCTGGCTGTAAATTGATAAAGCATATTTAGAGTGAAAGTGGCACTACATAAATATATAATAGCCTTATTATAAAGTGATAACATGATAGTCTCTATAAATGGAGAAAAAATGGTAATTATTCTTAGACTAATTGTTCTAAACAAAAAAAATGCTAAATTAGAAATGTCGTATTTATTTTCACTTACGTTAAGAAAAAATGCCTAGTCTCCTTTGTTTGCTAAATACTTCAGTAAGTTGGGAACCAGAGTGATACAATTACATTAAGCTTCTTCCCCCCCCATTTTGAGGAGCGCTGGGCCCTCGAGGGGGTGCTGTGCCGAGTCTAGGCGGGACGCCTGGTCCTCGTACTGTGAGACCACCGGCGGCTCAAGCTGCAGAGACGCGTCAAGCGGGCCGAGGCCTTGGACTTTTGTTCATGCGGGGCGACCCCTGAGGCCTCCATGGGTGTCCCCCGCTGGCAGAACTATAAAAATGTCAATAGTCTGAATGTTCGTGGTGTGTTTTTTTTGTGGGGGTGTGTGTGTGTGGTTTTGTTTAGTCTAGAGTGTACGGGCAGGCCTTGCAGGCCATGAGCCCAGGCCTTGTCCATGAGGCCCAGATATCCGGGCGTACCTGTACATGCTCTTTACTGGCTCCGAGTTATCACCCTCCCGGGAATAAATGTCTCTTAAAAGTCAAAAAAGTCTTCCCCCCCTCAACGTCTGCAATATATATTGAAAGTAAAATACAGACTGGGTGAATCATTCATTAAGAATAATACATGGTAACAGGCAGTCTGAAAAACTAGAATTGGGAGACTCTGAGGAATAAAAATCCAGCCTGCTTATGTGGGCCATTTTCATAGCTTTTCACAGGTTTCAGGATTTTTGACTTGCTTAAATTGAAGCATGCTGAAGAATTTTAGTATTATAGTACTATCATAACAATTATTATTTGATACAAGCATAAAAACATTTTTGACCCAACATCAACATTTTGAATTTGCATTTGTCTGTGTGTGCGCGCACTTATCTGAGGCCAGAATTTAGTTCTTACAATTTTATACAGACTTACTAACTTAAATATTGCCAAGCACGTAAGTTATATGTGCCATAGAGCAATCAATATAAAAAGCAAGCACAGAGCTGCTATAGTTCTCTAGTTTCCACTGTAGGGGGCTTTTCTTTTATTAAAAGCATACGGATATTAAAATATTCTTTGCTACGAGAGTCATGTTTCTGTGATGCAAAATTGGAACGGGGGGAAAATATCAGCTGTCACTACTGTCTTCATCTCTATTCCCCAAAGAAAAGCATTTTATTAAAGCTTTAGAGTTTGCAACAGCTGCAGAGTCTAATTTTTACAGAAACACCATTTTAAAATCATACTAATTTTGATTAAATGCCACAGGGTTCCACTTGAGTTTTACAAAATTGTATTTGAACACTTATTGCCTGACTCGTATAGAAAGGGGGGGGGGGGGGAGAGACCACCTACCTATCCTGTTGTGATTTAAAAGAGGAAAAGCAATATTCAAGTTAATGAACCCGATACATAGTTTATAACAAATGATAGTAAAATATCAGTTATTTATGCCACAATGATACCCTTTTTGACCCAGTACTGTACAAATCCCTATCGGGATGGTCTTTGCCCCAAAGCATTTACCATCTAAATATACAAGACGGAGAAAGAATAGGATGGGAAAGAGAGGTATATAGAGAGATGGTGTCACTTTCCCAAATTAACACAACATGGCACTGGTGACTTACACATCCTGTTGTCTTTTGAGTTTTAGTCCAGTGCTGGTCTAGCCATACATAGAGAGCAGCTGTGTTTTTATGGAAAGGAACAGATAATTCACAGATCAGAATCCTTTACCTGAAATGCACAAGGAGTGTTATCCACACAATATACTCGCAAATTGTAATCCAGCGAATTGCAAGACAAGCAGCCGAAGACTGCTACTTTCAGCTGTTTAACAGCACAGTCGGAGACGGGCTCTCCAACAAGAGCATAAGTTCCAAAGCTGTTTAAGAGAATGTGGCAGGCGTAAGGATCCAACAGACAGTAGCAAGAAGTAGTTTCCTCTTCCACGGACATCACTTCCTATGCAATGAAAAATCACATTTCAAAATCAGCAAGCTTTTCTGAGCAGAAGGCATGATGTTTCAGTTGATCTATTTTTTTTTCCTGGTTCACTGTATACTTTTAGTACGTTCGCAGCTCGACTGCAGAGCCTTTACTCATGTTGACTTCAGTGGAACTACTTATGTGAGTGAGTACTCACCTTGTAGCCCTGAGTCAGCAGCAGTGCTTATGGTGATATATTGTACCGAATTCAATGTAATAATAACGATGCATAAGCAATTTTAGCACCTTTTCAAGCGTTCTTGACTTTATAGCTAATTTTTCCCAATGTCAAGTTAAGAAATAACTGTGAAGTTCAAAGTCAATACACAAACCTTGAACAGCAGCCTGCATCTGACATCCTCGTATACTATCCATCACGATAATGTTTATTCTTATCCAAAAAAAAAAAATCTTTTGTCTTCCACGTACAGTTTTGCTGCGCTGTAGTGTCATTAGATAAATGATTTGAGGAATTTTCATAGTAATATTTCATTTTACCTCACTAGTCCTTTGGCTATTTGCAACCGGCATTGAGACAACTGACTCAGAAGCGAGAGCATCTAGAGTAAGAGGACTATGATGAAATAGTTCAGGGAAGAAAAACAAGTAAGATAAGTAGCTTGGGTAGGCAGAGAGATGATTAAAAATATCATGCATGGTATCATTCCAGCATTGTCTGTCAGAGCGAGTGAAAAGGAAAAACGCAACATAATAGTAAATTATGATTTACAATTGGTAAATATATTATGCGGCATGTGGTAGTCCTGTAGAGATTACTGGCACAAGGTGATCATTGGGCAGTAAAATTAAAAATGATGAAAAAGGATGATATTAGCAAACAGCAGCACTCTAGAAAATTTAGGTAAAAAATATTAAAAGCCAAGTATGGATTTTTACATAACGCCTGACCTTTCTTGCATCATAATTTTTTGCCAGATTGGTCAGGATCAGTTAAGACTGGAGATTTCTCAATAGTTTCTATAACAAAAGCCACAGTAATCAAGTGATAAAAACTCCACTTACATGACCGCTAAAGAATCAGAACTGCAGCACATAAGAACAGTCAGAAGAAAAAGAGTACCCTCTTACTTTTATTTCATCTTCCCAGTAAGGCTTTCATTGACATGAATTTCCTCTTCTCAGTTTTGCATTTTGATGGGGGAAAGGTGAATTCCTTTAGCACTGTGAATCGTACCATCCCTGGTATTTCTGATCAGCCCTAATTTTAGCCTAGATAGTTGTATCTTATGAGTCTGCTGTCAGTATGGTCTCATCAGGGAGGGAGGGATGGTTTTAACTTACCTCCCATTTCCCTTGTTGCGTTCTTTTTTTCAAGTGAATGGTCCAGTGTTCAGAATTTACTTCTGCACAGTGTGGTATAGTCAAGGCAAAAGGAGTGGTGACAGTCACATCTGGAGGGCCACAAGTTACTTCTGGACCAAGAAGAACTTCTGTGCTTTCTGGCTGGAGGCTTCGGGTGTAAATAAATAGTGAAAAGATAGATCAATCTTCAAGTAAATGTAACAAGGAAGTTAAAGTTTTTGTGATTTTCTTTTAAAATCAAGGTCATAAAACTGATTTGCATATAAACAAATTTTCTATACACATTTTTAAAAGATTTGTGGACAAAATCTGAGTATCTTATACATCAGTGACATGGGGAAACAGGAAGGTCAGCAGTCGCAGTAATTTCAATAGAGAATCAGAAGATAGCTATGAAAGAAACTTCTTGAGCCAAAGCTAATCAACCCTTCACCGGTCGGTTTGCAACCTTGTTCCCTGATGTACGTTTCTCTTTGAGTAAACCAAAATGCAACTTTAATGTTACTGTGAAAGCAAGCCTTGCTTAATTCACCAGCTGGTAATATTGCCACGCGATTCTTTTCTTTAAAGAATGTCATCAACAACCTTTTCATAATAGTAAAGATGAGCCAAATGATGGTGTAAAAATACAGCCTCTCCCAAATTTCCCCAGATTGCGTCTGATTTCCCTCATTTGAAAACATACTCTAATTCTTCCAATTGAACAAAATAGATAAGTAATAGACAGCAGGCATTAAGTTAAAAATGCACAGTATCTGATACGAATCTCTATTCTTTCCTCCCTCATTCAGAACTTAATTTAACTCCGTCCCACACAAACCACACATAGACGGAACATAGTTCTGACAAAAAAAGAGGGGATGAATTATTAAGAAGGTTACATATAGAAATGAAGAAACACAATAGCTAAACGCTGACTGACATGTAAAGGAGGTGTCAGAGATTTGAATGGAAAAGAAGGGGGGGAAAAACTGACTACAAGACTCCTCTGTGGACATTACTTGGGTTAAGAGAGCACTGCTGATGGAAGATAAGTATCTGTCTTCATGTATACCTTAAGGGATTGTACGCGTCTTTAAATATTAAATTTGTTACTGGGTAAGCTGGATTCATTAATAAATAACGCTTATTTAAAAACACACATGCTGAGCAATGACAGGCAAGAAATGTGAGAAAAGGTGATTTATTTAACTTGTATTCTTCATCTTGGCTTGTGTCCCAAATGTATGGCTTACTAATGTTAACACTGGAACTACTCAGTATTCTGCTCTCAAAATATAAGACACATCTGTGTAACACCACTAAGTCAGGAGGAAATGTGTCCCTGCCAGCCTGGTGACCGACTGCAGCTTATGTAAATATATTTGAGACGGCATTAAACTTGCTAGCTGGTGTACTGAGTGCAGCATAGTCATAGTTGTGCAGTAGGCAGTACAGGCTGCAAAAAGCACTTGAGAAGCTGGATAAATAGTAATACTCAAGCACTCAGCCCATGCTGAGCCATGCCACAGTAGCCACACTTCTATCAGTAACTGAGCTTGCTAGTTTAAAGCCATCTCAGGTATGTCTGCAGTGTGTGCAGGGCATGGCATATACCCATCCTTTCAGTCAGTTAGGCTCTCCTCCTGCAAATACCTTAGCACAAACATGACCTCACTTGTGATTATTATTATTTGTATTTTTGTAGCACATAAGAGCTCCAGTCTGGAGCTAGGACCCTGTTGTTTTAAAAGTTGTACAAATAGAGAACCAAATGCTGTCTACCCCCAAACGCTTACAGTCTAAGGGATGTCCCAATAAAACTATTCATGTGGAAACATAATGTGCAAGCACAGTGTTAATGGTTTGAGGCTTGAATAGAAAAAAAAACGTATTTAGAAATAAACGGGCTAATTCTTCTTTACTTTTTTATAGCAGTCAGAGTATTAATTGTTCACAAGTCCCCAAAGATCATACATGCATACATATTTGTTCTGCTAAAACATCAAGCTAAAAGTGCATGATTCCTCATATATTCTATTCTTCTATTTAAATGGCATTCTTGCCATTTAAGCCCAAGCTTAACAATAAGCATGTTGGCAATCTTACTATGCTTAAAGATAAGCACCTGCTTAAGTGTTCTGCTGAGTTAGGGCCACCATTAATACTCCAAATGAACAGTTCTGAAACAACTTGTAGTCTGACAATATATTCATTCAAACTACTTGGCATATGTTTGTGAATATCATTTTTTTTTTCAGGAGCCACGAGTGCTTTGCAACTAAACTGTTACTAGGAAAAAAAAAAGGTTTCTGCAATAACAACAATAGTGCCAAAAACAAGTAACACTACTGTTTTCAACTTGCATTTGATTTTTGTTTACTAAAAACAGCCTCCGAAAGGATGCTGCCGAAACCTCTTCCTACAGCACAAAACTTTGTTTATAAAGTGCTTTCAAAATGATCCACCAGGTTTCTTAAAATACAGAGCACTTGGTCTCAGAAGTATTGAAAACCTTCAAGCTAACTCTTTACATATTCATTTTTGGGTAAGTTATTTAATTCGTCTTACTCTCTGCTGTACCTCTGCAATGACTGATGCATTCTATCTCCTTATCTTTGTTTTGATGCTGCTGCTGGAAGGGATAACAATAGCATATTTCCAGAGAATGAGTCAAACCCGAGTTATTTAACTTGGTGGGTGCATCTCTATCCTATCTCACTCACAACAGGCACACGTCCTTCAACTACTGCTTCCCACGCCAATTTGATGCTGCTGACAAGTGCACAAAATGCAGGGGGAAAAGTTTGCCAAAGTTACCTCCAGCACAAAGTTTGACAATTCATCTCCCATAGTGGGAGCAAAATATAGGTTAAACTGAAAACAACACTGCATTTACCCTCAGGGGCTGTGAATCCAGGGGCTTAGTCATGCTACTGGTGATGATTCCCAATAAAAACTAATTTAAGCCTTTCAAGCATCAAGAAGAAAACTTAATACCACATATGCACTTGCGCACGCACACACACACCAGTTTGACGGGAAGAAGTCCTATTAGCAGATGGAGGGTGATGTGAAACGGCCTGGGACAATTTGATCCTTGTATAAAACAAACGAACAAAAAAACCCTGGAAAATGTTAACAGCAAGTTACAATCTCAGAAATGGCATAGCCTCTATAATGGTTACTGGCAACTCTCCATGGTCACTCTGACTCAGTGTAATTACTGACTGCATACATTGTGGAGAGGAATGGCAGGGATGTGTGTGAATGACCAATGACGAGCTCTTTGGAAAGGAGCTATTTAATTGCTTTCAGAGAATCAGTCCCCCTGTTGAACATATTGTACAAACATATGGGAATTCTGGGAATTATTTAATGCCAAATGAACTGAAATCAGCTAATTAGATGAACTCTCACACTTATTGCAAATAGCAAGAGTCTTTTCAGTAATAACTGACATGGTATTAGGATGCAATTCAGGACTGTTTATTAGGCAAGGCAGAGAAGGGAAACGTTACAGGATACAGGTATTTAATATTCCCTTAAGTGCAGAGTAAACAAATCAGTAACCAGATCTAATCCCTGCAAATCCATCAAAATCAGGACTTTGCTGGATTTCCAGTAGAAAAAAAACTAATAGTCACCATGGCTGTGCCAGAATAGCAAATATTTCTCTGTGAAACTGCACAGAAAGGAACAGTCATGTCTAATTCCACATTATGTTGCTTTATGAAGAATTTAGAGGAAAAATAGATTTTTTTCCCATTTCCTATTAAGATGTGTAAACTTCTGTTTTAAGGTCTAACTTAATCATCCAAATAAAAATTCAGAATGTCATTTCCTTCCCTCACAAATGAGTTTTCCAGTAGGGAGGGGCATGGAGATAAATCCCTTTTCAATTCTTAAAAAATTGCAAAAAATGCTGGGCTTGGGCCAATTCCATCAAGTTGAGACAACATGCAAGTGCATTTCATGTTCATATGGGCTGCTTTTATAGTCTTTCCTATTACTGTCTTCAAATTAAGGGTAATCTAATGAAATCAAATGCTTTTCAAACATTCATGAGTAAATCTTAACAAAATCCGTGTGAGGCAAGTGTTGGTCTGCCCATTTTGCATAGGGATATGGCCAGTGTAGGGGTGAGCCTGAAAGGTAGCTTCAAGCTTTGGGTGCTTCAATTTTTGGTTTCCCCACTTTGACACTTAGGACCATGATTTTTTCCAGGGGGTAATGAGCGCTTACAGCCCCAAATGCAGTCATGCAGACCTTACCAGACCTCATCACCTCTGAGCAATCAAATGTGAAGTGCTTTAAATTGGGCATAAAAATAGAGGTATACAAAATTTGAGGCTTAGGGCCTCGTTGCACTAATGTAAATGATGATATAGTGTTGAAGGCAATAATCAAAATGTGCCTAATGTGCCACTACTCTCATCTGGTAGCATTTTACCATGCACTTTTAGACTATTGCATGCACTTTTAGCTACCTGTGTACAGTGCAGGGAAATGATGAATTGGGGCTTAAGCATTTTGCACAAGGTCACACGGCAAGTCTATGTTAGAACAAGAAAGAGAACTTTAGAGTCGTCAATCACAATTCCCTGCTCCAAACATTATACCATACAACACTTCGTATGCCCTCAAAATAGCACAATGTGTTTGATCTTTCTTCTTCTATTACTGGAATAACTATTCATAAATTCCAGGTAATCTGCTATTTGTCAGTCTCTTTCCATGCGACGGTAGACAATCATAGCAAACTGTTTTCTCCTTGTTCGAACCTATTTATCTGTATGATAGATTTATGCTGGCTCAATCACCTTTGCAGCCTTGATTTGGAACAATGTACCTTTTCTGTATTATGCATACAGACGAGCTTTTTTACTATGTTGAACACAGGCTTGAATCATAGCACCATAATCTAACACAGAAGTCACAAAAGCAGGAAGATCAGGAGCATTATAGAGGGTTGATGGCCTTAAGAAATACAGTTGGGGAAAAAAAAAAGATGGCTCCAAAGAAAGGGTGGAGTCCATCAAGAAGAGTAGTCATGGAAATTTAGCTGGGTGACTTCACTGCTGCTCTTTCTTGGCCCCACGACAACTGCACATAAAATAGTCAATGGCTTGTGATTGTTCTATTTATTCTTGAAGAACCTGAAAAAAA